TTACGATATATATATATATATATATATACACACACACACATATATATATACACATATATACATACACACACACACACACACACACACACACACACACATATATATATATATATATAAAACTGGCTGAAATAAACTTTAAATAAAGTACTTGAAACATTGACCGCCATACCATTTCTTCTTCATCATCTATATAAAGCAGACTGGAGTTCATAGACGCACAGGCCATCCTACTCTCCTCCCAAGTTTTTGTTTCCTTTCCAATGTAATAACAGCTGTTGGAATATGTAAACCATTCTTCTGGACAACTACAATTATGTGCTGAGGAAACATTGCAAATTACTCTCAAGAAACAATATGAATACTTTAAAATGAAACTTAATATACAAAGGCTTGTCATATATGCACGTAACATATGTAGGTATCCTCACAGGATGTACATATAATTAAAAACCCACTTACTCATACATGTACACACTGTAAAGAGACAGTCTCTAGTACCTTAATTGTGTTCACACATGAAACAAATCAACAGACAAAAGACCACATTACACACATCTTGAAATCACCGAACATACTTTTTTTATAAATGTAAAATTATTTATCTCATGACGTTATAGCAATAGAAATTTGCAACAAAACAAAAAAGGGTATAGTGATTTTGAATGAGTATTTAAATTTACTGCTAAAGAAAAGAAAATATGTTCTTATGATCTTTATTTACAGACATTTATTGCTAAATTTTGTAATTTATTTTCCCTCAATAAATCTCTGGCTATTTTTGCATGACTAAAAATCAATACCAAATATAAACTCTTACTATCAGAACTTTGGAAATCATTACGTACCTTTCTGAGTTCTTGCATTTTGGATAGAATTGGCCTGCTTCTGTGTTGCTGTAGCTAGAAAATTAAAAATAATCTTTTATTTAAAAAAATTAATATCTGAATAAATCATAATGATGATAGCTTCTTTGGAATTTGTTAAATTAAGCCAGACTTGGAGGCCTAATGTGGAAGGCTGAGCCTAGTGGATTGCCTGAGCCCGCAGGATTGAGACCAGCACAGGCAACTCATCTCTACATAAATAAAATAAATTAGCCAGGTGTGGTGGCGCACACCTGTAGTTTGGCTACTTAGAAGGCTGACGCCGAAGGATGTAGGATCCCAGCATGTCGACGCTGGGGTGGCCGTGACCGTGCCACTGGACTCCAGCCTGGGCATTCAGATATTGAACGATTGTACAAAGAAAAAATATATGAAGTAATTGAGGTTATATTTTAACAGTATAAAGAACAAATTCACTGTCTCATACAGTACTTGATTTAGCCACTTTCAAAATTTAATTTCTATTTCTCGGTAAGGTTTTTCAATTTGCAGAACATGTGAACCAAACCCTCATCATATAAAATAAATAGGTCATGTTGACTGGAAGTAAATCATCAATTATATATATATAATTTATATATATAAAGTACAGATGGAATTAATTGCAATGAGATAAATTTTTATGACTCTAGTATCCATTTACCACATTCTATAAAATAAATAATGCTCTCAAGCGAAAGACAATGTGAGAATTCAATTGTTTTCTTAGAGTTTGCAGTCACTGCAAAAGGCTATGACCATCAAGAAAACTCACATGATACTCAGTACCCTAAACATTTTCCTTCATGAAAAAGATGAGAAATATCCTGAGAAAATCATGATCATAAGTAATAAGACAGGAAGCACCCACTAATGAAGACAACTGATCTTAAATTAGGGAGCACAGGCCATTCAATGAAAAAAATAAATTGAACTTAGCTAAAATCAATCACTTTTAGTTTGCAAAAGACAGTGTTAATAGAAGGAAAAGATAACCCCACAGACTGAGAGAAACTTTTTCAAAGCACATGTATGTTAAAGGATTTGTATCCAAAATATACAAATTATGTTTACACATAAACAACAAGGAAAAAAATTAAAATGAGTAAAAAATGTGAACCCAACTCTCATCATATAAAATATACAGATGACAAATATATAAATGGATCATTATATATCATTACGGAAATGCAAATTAAGACAATAATGAGATGTCTCTACACATCTATTAGAATGGCTAAAATTTTTTACAGCAGAATTTTATAAGATGCACAAAGAAGCTGTACAAATCATACTTGAAATTATTCCAAAAAATAGAGAAGCAAGGACTACTTTTTAGGATACTAAAATTATTTCTCACGTATTATACTATGGCACTAGAAAATTTGAGTGAATCTACAAAAGGAAAGCAGAGGAAACTCAAGTGAGTATTTCCTCTTATTGTTGAAGTCAAGGAAGATTCTATAATTTATATTTATTAGCATTTATAGCATAATTATACTATTTCCCCCTCAAAATCTGTTATAATTTTGAGTGCCTTAAAATAGAGACAAAATGTAAACTATATTAATTCCAGAAATTTGAAAATCAGTATGTTCCCTTCTGGGTTCTTGTTATCAGAGAAGAATTATTCTGCTCCAGTATTACATTAACTATAATAATAAAAGTAATGTTTAAAAAATTATACATAAAGAATTTATAATAATTTTAGTGTCTTACCTTAAAAATATGTCACATTAAGAATTTAAAAATATGAAATACCACTAATTTTTTAGAAAATGTAATGAAATAATTAGATCTTTGTAAAAAAAAAAGTAAAAAGCCTAAAACTCCAAACTTTATCATCTGTTGCAGTATTTTATATAGTCACTTACAGAAATGAATTTGCATTTTAAACACATTTTAACCTTGAAGCATGTCTTAATATTATAAAAATAAATGCAATATTATATGTGTGTATAATTACATATATGTATAATTTAAACAACTGTTTATTCCAATGATTATAGTTTTGAAAACTCAGAATAAGTATTTTACTTTGGATTAAGAATATACTTTAAAATGAGAGCCCTTTTCCCTAATATGATGAAATGCTTAGATGCATGCCAATCAATAAAATGTAAGTTCTCATAACAACCGTGCAAGAATATACTTACAGAAAATAAGAACTATTGTTTTTAACACAGAAGCCATCAGAACAATACAAATTATTGCCAAGATCTCAGCAGTAATCTTTTTTGGAGGTGATGGTAAATCTGCACAGAGAGAAATAGAAAAACAGAGAAAGGATAGTAAAATTAGAAGGTTTGCATATGAGAGAACACAAGTGTGCAGAAAATTACATGATTAAACTCAGGTTTCTAAACAAATATCTGCCATACTAAGCTTTCTCTCAAAATACAACATTTTATTTTCAGTAAATACAATGCTCTGTTATTTTTTTGATCAAGATCTACAAAGTCAACAATGCCTGAATAAAATTAGTCTTCATATTTCATGTTAAAATATCATATCCTGACTCTGAGCTCTGATACTATGAATGAAAA